GGGGTGGTGGTGGGTGGTGTTAAGATCTCTCCTTCTACTTTGGGCTGAATCTAAGTGCTTGAGGTAAAGTAAATGAACTTAGCTAAGGTGACAGCTTGGCCTCAGTCAGTGCAAACCTCTTGCCTTGTTTCTAGAAAATGTTCAGGCCTTCAGAATTTTTGGGAGAAGGGCATTGTATTTATTTCATTTATATTGCTTATATTCTCTGTTTATATTCAACCTATGATGGCTCACAAGAGCTAAAATTGTAGACCTCAGGAACACCCTCCAGGGCTTACGGCTCCTTGACTGCTTCACGTGGGCATCCCCAGCCACCTCTCACACCTGAGCTTGGCAAACCTCCAAGGCTCCCTATTGCTATTTGCCATCCCAGTTTTGACCCAACAGCTTACCTTGTTTTTGTTTGTTTGTTTACTCAGTGTACCAACCTTCACTGTGATCCCTGAGAGGTCTCGCTCTCCATCCCCATTGATGGTTGTGGATGATGATGAAGAGCCCATGGAAGGGGTTCCCATTGAACAGTATCGAGCGTGGCTGGGTGAGTGGATGCTGCTGCTTCTGTGAAATCCGGCTGGTATTGCAAAGGCCATCTGAGAGGAGGAATTGTGGAGGTGAGGCCAGTGGGCCTCTTCCTCCTCCTTTGGCGTGTAGAACTTCTCTCCATGCGGGACTGCTTGTTTGGCAAGGAGAGAAATGGTGCAGTGTGTCAGTTGGGGCCCAGAAGAGGAGGTTTAGCTGCTTGCTTGAGAGAAAAGTTTGGCTCCCAAAAGCAGTGTCAGGTTATAAAGCCCTCTAACTATGGAGCGTGGCCTTTTCTTCCATCCTCGTTGGGGTTCCGCAGTCCTGTTGTGCTTTGAATTGGCCTGTAAGGCTTCGTAAAAGATTATAATTCCTCCACAATGGCAAAGGCAAATTTGTCTTGCCCCCAGATGAGGACAGCAATCTGGAGCCGTCGCCTCTGCCAGAGCTTGACACCGAAATGGGTTTCCCAGCTCGAGAAGAGGAGGAGGAGCAGCGCTGGCTGGATGCGCTGGAGCGAGGGGAGCTGGATGACAATGGAGAACTCAAGAAGGAGGTGGATGAGTCCCTGCTCACAGCCCGGCAGGTGAGGAGTCTTTCCCAAGGCCGTGGGCAGGGCGGGAAGAGGAGGAGGCCCTCAGTTCTCCTCCTCCACAGCTGGCCTTGGGGAGAAGAGAGGGAGGATCACCACTGCGCACCCCCATGCACGGTTTGGAGGGGACCCTTGTCTTTTCTATCTCTCTGCCCTTGGACCAAGGAGCCTCCACCCCCCCACCACCACCGACTCTGTTTGCCACCCTAAGAGGTGACCATATTATTTAGATCTATGAAGTGGAGGAAACAGAGACCAGGTGAGAGCGCCTCTTCCTCTTTGAGGGTCCCTCCCCATTTTTTTAAGCTGCCTTCCATTGTTACCAGTTTAAGTGACTGTGAGAGTCCCTTTATTGGGGCTGCACGATTCCTCCTGAGAATGCTTTGGTACTGCTGTATCAGAAGGGCTGTTGCCTCCCTGCTGAGCTGGTGTGGATCTTAACCCAGTCCCCTTCTCTCTCTCCCTCTCCTCCTTTCTGTGCCTCCAGAAAGCGCTGTTGCACAAGCAGCAGAGTCAGCCCCTGCTGGAGCTGCCCATGGGCTACAAGGCCAAGGAGCTCACAGAAGAAATGCTGGTGAAGCGAGAGGAGAGGGCCCGCAAGCGCCGCCTTCAGGCTGCCAAGAAGGCTGAGGAGAACAAGAACCAGACCATTGAGCGCCTCACCAAGACCAGCAAGACCAAAGTCAAGACACTGCGGGAGCGCAAGGCCAAAGGGGCGGCGGTGCCCGTGATCTGCTACCGCAATGCTGCTGATGGCATCACCGTCTCCTTTCCTCAAGGAGCCAGCGTGCCTCTGCTGCCCTCCCCCCCACCAGTGGTGCCGCTGCCCACACCATGTGGGGTCAGCGGGTGCCCCAACCTCAAGCGGTACTCCTGCTCCCACACTGGGGTGCCCCTCTGCAGCCTGGCCTGCTACAAGAGGAACCTCCTGCTCCAACAGGTGGCGGCCTAACACCCCCTAGCCCATTGCCCTTTGGGGGCCAAGGGAACACCACTTGAGCGGCTTAGGAAGCGGATGCCTGAAGGTCGAGGAGCAGCACCAGAGATCCTGGAGAGAATGGCAGTGGTCTCTGGCAGCTTGTGGTGTGGTGGCAGTGAACACATTTGGCGTGCCAGGAGTGTGTGTGTGTGTGTGTGTGTGTGTGTGTGTGTGTGTGTGTGTGTGTGATGGGCAGCCCTGAATGGATGGGGAATGATCTCACAAACGGTGATGCCTGGAAAGAGCCAGCAAGAGGGTGCAGAGACACACACACGTGCATCTTTTAGGTGGAACCTGATAGAAGCAACACCGCTGGCACAGGCACTGCCTGCTTTTTCTAGGATTAGGGTGGCTGAGGGTCTGGCAGCAGCCATAAATTCCCTTGTCTGGTGCCGCTGTTGCTTCCAGAGGTATTGGGGCGAGCAAAGGATAGCGCCAGGAATTTTCCTGTGACACCCACCAGGCAGTTGCAGGAAGAAAGGCACCAAGCAGCGACAGACTTCTTTTTTCTTTTTTTGCCACCAATCTCCCTGCTATTATTTTGAAGAGACAATGAAGAGACACTCTAAGCAACTCTGACGGTTGTCTCTTCCCTGTAAGGGCACAAGTGGCCAGGCTCAAGAGCCCCCAGACATGTGGCTTCCAGAAGGGGCTCCAGCAGGCTTCTTCCCTTCACCCTACTTACATTTCAGTTCTTATAACTGCCCAATGTTTCTTGGATAAAGCACCAGGAGACAGTATGAGAGCCTGATGATTTGAAAGGGCACAGTTGTTTGCTGGCCTCTCCCCCCTTACATGGATCGGATCCCATCCTTAACATCAAATGTTCTGCACTGACCCTCAGTCCCCTTTTCTCCTCCCTACTCATTCTTGTCCCAGTGGGCAAATCTATCTTGCACTTTCTTTTCTGGCTTTCTTCTCTGTTCCTAATTGTGATGTTTTCCATCTGTGCAGTAAAATTTGTAATCAATAAAGTACTGTTTTTAAAGGATTCAGATTGCTGCTCAATAGAGATTAGTTGTGAATCCACCATATCTCTCCAGCCCACTGCATCTACAGTTATCACAGTACAGAGGCCCTTAAAACAAGTGGGCAGCTTTGATAGATCTGGGAACCAGTCGGGCAGCTGTACCTGCAAAAAATGTGGGAGGTTGGGATCCTTTAAAACCTAAAACCCAACAATCAAATAGTCCATCAAGGAAAATCTTTTCTGTACAGTATAATATTTGTGTGATCTAAATCAGTGGTTCTTAACCTTTTTGAAAGAATCGCCCCCTTGAGCCACTCCATATCTCTCCAGCTCACTGCATCTACAGTTATCACAGTACAGAGGCCCTTAAAACAAGTGGGCAGCTTTGATAGATCTGGGAACCAGTCGGGCAGCTGTACCTGCAAAAAATGTGGGAGGTTGGGATCCTTTAAAATCTAAAACCCAACAATCAAATAGTCCATCAAGGAAAATCTTTTCTGTACAGTATAATATTTGTGTGATCTAAATGTCCCAAATTCTCTGAAGTCCCATTCAGTCCAGCCACAAAAAGGTGATGCTTCCATTTATTATACTGTTTTTGTGTGTTTAAATTATTAATAAAAGGGAACGTTTCGCATAACAGAAATAAAACTAAAATGCAAACTCAGTGGTGACTACACATAATACACATTAAAAATTTTCCATTCATGTCATCTTCAACCTTCGGGCTAGGTAACCAATAATATCAATTTGTACCACTTTTCAACCCATTTCTCTCCAAAAATACACCAATTCTTCTGTTACATAGCCTTTCACCTTCAAAAGGACATATTCCAAGTATAAATTTCTACAGCTTTGAAATCATTAGACTTTATTTTATTTATTTATTTATTTATTGTATTTATACCCCACCATTCCTCTTCTAATTTCCATTTCACATGTTAACTTATCATAAGCTCTACTTTTCTTTATACCAATCTTCAAGGTTAATTTGTCGCTTTTCCAGTTCTTTGCAAATATTAATCTTGCTACACTAACCATTTTAACAACTCTTTCTGATTTTTTTCATACTGTACTGTGTTTTTTGTCAAAGTACTTCAATATAGAGGATTTGATTGCTGTCCACTTACATTAAAAACCTTTAATATTAAAAGAAGAACTACATATATAAGACAGCAATACTGTATATGATTCAAAGGAAATGAACTAAATAATTTTAAACAAAAAATATGTTCAATAATTGCATCCTTTCTCCCTGACAAGCTCTGTGCACATTGTAGGGCATAAGAACCATGGATATAAAAGTTACTTGATTTGGTTTTCCCCATATTCATGTCCAGCAAGTAAATATTCCCATTTCTCTGAATTACCTTTAGAGTCTATTCAGAGGCTTCCATGCATCCCATCTAACATTATAACTTATCACTAGATGCTCAAGCTGGTTCCATTCAGTTTGCTAGATGGGTTGTGCTGCCTCTCCACAGACCCTGTCTGGGTTCCTCTGGGTGAAGTTAGTGCTGCAGTAATGTTTAAGAAACTCCTAGATTTCAATCTTCTTGGAAGCTGGTGCTTGGAAATAAGTTCACATTAATAGGAAAGTGTCAGATGATGATAAAAACAAAATGGAATAGTTGATTACGGATAAAGAAATAGAGGATATAAATAATTTAAAGGCAGGAAAGACCCCTGGAACAGACGGATTAGGTCCAGATTATTATAAGGTATTTAAAAAGATTCTTATACCAAAGTTAAAAGAGTTATTTAACAAGATGTTAATGGGAGAAGAAATCCCACTTTCATGAAGACAATCACTTATTGTTTTAATATTGAAACCAGATAAAAATCCTACAAATATGGAAGCATATAGACCCATATCACTGATAAATCAAGATGCTAAGATATTTACAGCAATAATGGCAAAGAGATTGAATAGTTTTATGGGGAAATATATTGGAAAAGATCAAAATGGATTTATATTAAGTAGGCAAATGTCAGATTTAATGAGAAAGGTACTTAATGCACTTAGCTAAAGAAATTAATTCTAAAGCTGGAGTAATATTGTTAGATATATTCAAAGCATTTGATTCAGTGGAATGGGGTTTGTTAAAGATATTAATTATTTAGGGTTTGGACCTAATTTTAGGCAGATAATCCCCCAACTTTATTCACATAGAATACAGCCAGAGTAATAGTTAATGATGGTATAACTGAGACAATACACCTAGGCCGAAGTACAAGACAAGGTTGCCCCTTATCTCCAGTACTATTTACAATGATAATTGAATTATTGGCACAGATAATTAGAGACAATAAACAGATTAGAGGGATAGATAACAAAGAAAATGGTAAGATAAATGTATTTGCTGATGATACATTATTAATAGTTAAAAATCCAGTTGAAACAATTGAAAGGCTTAAATTACATTTGAAGGAATTTGAGAGTTAAGAGTAAATTGGGGAAAGTCAGAATGTTTATTGTTAAATCACTCAGAGGAGGAGAAAAGAAAAATGAAAATAGTATTTGAAGGTAAAATCGAAAATGTTATGAAATATTTAGGGAAATAAGTCCACGTTTTATTCAGTGCTCTATATGTATATTCAGCCTGCAGGGATATATTCCACACAGAACAAGAATACTCCGCAGCAGAAAAGCACAGGGGCAAGGTTGACACTCAGTTTCAGGGGTGGATCCCTCAATCAGTTCCAGAAAGCTTTCATCGTAGACAGCTAGCAATAATTTCATGCTTGATGTTTATGTCATGTTTCATAGTTGCTGCTGATGTAACATTGCCTCCACAACTTTATAAGCAAGGACACTTATCTACTGGTCTATTAAGAAAATAGTTGATTAATTTCTCTTTAATTTTTGTGTGTGTGGTGACAACAGAAGCCTATTGCCAGGATTTTGATAATTCACTAGATCTACAGCTGACAATGATAAACCCTGTGGAAATGCTTTAACATTTTCGGAATGTATGGTAAGCCGAACTGGGGGAGTACCCTCTTTACTAGAGGGGCAGGACCAGGGGGGCCCTCCCTCCTGCTGCTGCTGCTGCTGCTGGGGCACGACCTGCATCTCTTCCCAGCCAGCACAGCTAGTGGTGAGGAATGCTGGGAATTAGTTTACCCATCCAGGATTTGCAGGGTTGGACGTTGCCCACCTCATACTAAACATACTCTTTAAAAAAATACTGTAAATAAATCTCTTGAGGAACCTAGTGCCGGCATGGAAACCACTCAAAGCAATAAAAGACAATTACATATCACACAGTGCCACCTTAATGGTATTTTATTGTGGTTTCTGTTTATTTTTTTCTGCGTGGTAGTAGGTTTATGTTGTGTATTTCATTTCGGTAAAATTAAACAACAAAAAAAAAGAAGAAGCCACTCAAGGCAGTCATGGCGACAGGGGTTCTTCCAGGTCAGATAGCTTTCCCTTTTTGCACAAGGGTCAAGCCAGAGGGGCAGTGCTCCTGCCTCACTCTTTCCACCCCAGACCTCCCTCTGCCGCCCCCGCCCACCGCCCTCCCGGCGCCAGAAGCATCTCCCGCGCCGGGGCGACCCGTCGTTCGGCCACACCAGGACCAGCCGGACACAAAGCGCCCCCCCCCGGGCTGTGGAGGGCCCGGCCAGGGAAGGCCCCGCAAGGCTTTACGCCCCTGCGTCCCCCCCCTCGCAGGCCGGCCGGCCGGCCGCCACTTCCTGCCGCAGGTGGGCGCGATTGTCCGGCCGGCCCGGTTCCTTCAGGGCAGGAGCACCGGAAACGCGTCACTAGAGTGCTCCCAAGGCCCGCCTCCCGCGCGGCGGAAGGTGACGCAACTCAGAAGGGGAAGGAGCGGGGCGGGATTTCCGGCGCCCAAGGCGGAAGCTAGGTTTCCCATAGCAACCGAGCGGCTGCAGACCGGCGAGCGTCGTGGGGGGGCCGCGAAAGGAAGCGTTTCCTGAGCCAGAGGGCGGCGGCTGTGGCTGCGGCTCCTGCTAGGTGGCTCTGAGGGGGGGGCGCCTTCTCGTCTCCGCTCCCCCTGTCAGGCAGGTGGGGAGGGTGTCGCTTCCCATTCCCCGCCCGCCCCCCAGCCAGGAGGCCAGGCGGCGGCAGCGGCGGCGGCGCCCCCTTTGAGGCCGTCGCTTTGGACGAGCGGCGATTCGATGGTGATGCCGAGGGAATCCTCCGATGAAGGCGAGGCGGGACCCTTGGTGGGGCTTCACCGGGTCTCCTGCGGGCTCGTTGGTTAGGGGAGCTGTCCGTCAGGTACGTCGCCGGCGGCGGTCGACCCGCATTGGCGGAGGGCGCTGCTCGTCCGCGCGGAGGAAGGATTCCTACCTCTTTGTCTGCCCTTGTTATGGCCGCGGTCGACAGCCGATTGGTTGCGGGCGAGCGGGGCTGCAGCCGCGGATTGGCCGGGCGCGCCGCGGGAGCCGCGGATTGGTAGGCTCGTCGCG